CACAACCAGAGTCGATATACTGACTCGCAAAGGTCTCATTATCTCCCAGGATTTGTCCAAACGACCCTGAGAGACGAAATTTGAAATTCCAGCTCACAACACTCTACCCATGATTGATGTAACTAAGTATTGATACTTGGCGCTGATATGAGCACATGAAAAACACAATGTGCTTCTGGCCTTGCTGTCCCTACTATACTCACACACACACACACACACACACAGCCACAGCCACAGCCACAGCCACAGCCACATCCACAGCCAGTCATATGTCCATTGTGGATCAATGTTTCTATACAGAAGCAGAAAAATACTCAAAGCACTAAGAAGAGAGAGACAGAGGTAGGCTTTGTGTATGTAAAGATGAAAAGGAGAGAGAGAGAGAGAGATGGCAACAAGGTAAAACTCATATTATCCAGCATTTATTATACCAGAGTGCAGAGGCCTGCTGTGCATCTCACATTTCGCTGTGATAAATAACCCTCAACGGCAACACATATGCACATAAAATCACAAGAAGTCACATATTTGCTTACGTAGGTGTGTGAGTGTAAGAAGCGTGCTAGATTCTGGAATAAGGTTATTACCACCAACTGGGAGAGATGGAGGGAGCAGTAATGTGTGCATCTGTGTGTATTTGATTTTCTTTTTTTTGAGGGTTAAGATAGTGGAGGAGGAAAAGCAGAAGAGGCTGTCTGTAATGTGCATATCACACAGCTAATAAAGCTGGCATATACAGGAAATAATACAGCATTAATTAACTACTCATTACCAGTCCATGTAATGTCAGTGTATAAACCAATAGAAGCAGAATTTAAAGATGTAGAAGTTGTAGATTGCTTCAAATGCCAACCCTGAAGCCCCTCTCTTTAACTCTTTTATGGGCGCTACTGAAACCAAAGACCTGCTTTAGAATAAAAAATATACGATCCTCTCAGTAAATCTTCTCCATAGATTATTATACATTTTAGTTATGTCATGCTGTTGATTATAATCTAATGAAAATCTTTCCAGTAACAAATACTCACCTCCAGTCGGCTTGAAAGGTTTATAGCTTGTTTTCACAGAGGCCAGAAGCCACTTTGGTTTGCAGAAATTTCAAATGGATTCAAATGACGACCTTGGGTTTTGTCTGAAAATTGTATCAAAATGTGTATGTCAAAATGTAGTGCCTGAATATATGATACTGAAAAGACTTTTAGTGGAATATTCTTTTTTAACTGAATGTCACTTGAGATTACATGGTATGAATGCTGTGTCTTTTTGTCCTGCTGATGAAGCAATTCCAGTGTGGAGCATCTAGCTTTCCCCTGTCCACAAACAATGTAAGCCCAAGTAGCTTTTGCTTCGTCTGACTTCAGTTCTTTTGGCGAACTCAGGTTCATTCGTCTCTTTGTGTTGTATGTATCTACATATCTGTGATGCTTTATTTACAGTGACTGTCATTATTCCAACTGTTTACCTGGAAAACTCTTGTCAGAAAGCATGTTGTGTTATTTTGACAAGCAGCAACCGTGAGCTGTCAACACCAGTCTTCTTTGTATATATAACTGAGTAATGTGAATGTTTCCTGGTTATTTCTCACATTTTTGATAAGTTTAAAAACTCCATCTAGAAATGTTGTTAATGTAAGTGTTGCCGCATTTGTGTATGTGATGAAATATTAGTGTGTATGAAAAACTGTAAGGAATCTCACATCATCCCTGACCTGTCCTTTGGAACCACTGCTCATGAGCCAGTTTAAAATTTACTGCATGTTTGTGATATTGTAGCTGTCCAGCATAAGAATATCTGAATATGACACAGACATGAAAAAATATAAATATATTTTTTAACCATTTTTAAAAGAACAAAGCAAACAAAAAAAAACATATATGTAGAATTTGGGACTAATCTAGTACTCGTTCATAAGATGATGAGAGTACTCGAATAATGAAATTACTGAAAATGCCCATCCCTAGTTCATATTCATACATCCTATGCTTAGCAAACAGAATGGATTTGTTAGCCTCTGTTGATAAGAGAGTGTCGAGAGCAGCCGCAGTGGTGTCAATTTTAGGTCTAAGGTCCTCTGTAGGGTTGAGGTTCAACTCTCCCTGAAGCCAGCTTAACTGATGTTCTATAGCCTGTTGTTTAGCCCTCTGCTTTTCCTTAAGATTGGCTGAAAATGATATAGTGAAGCGACAAATACCCTAGCCTTAGCAGCCTCCCAGAGTTGACTAGGAGACACACCTGGAGTGTCATTCTGGGCAATAAAATGATTAAACTGTTTTTTAAGGTACAGCCAAAAATTAGGATTTTTAAGAATGTGATGTGAAAACCGCCATTACCCCTTGGGCCATTGTACTTTGCTGGACATGACCAAAAATATTGGTTGGTGATCACTAATAATAATTTTACTAATCGAGCAAGAAAGGTGTGAAGAAATAATCAATTCTACATGACGGATTATGAACCTTTGAATAAAATGTATGTTACCCGTCAGTGGGGTGAAGAGTCCTCCACGTATCAATAAAATGTATATCAGTGCAGCAGCCAAGTAAAGACGGACCATGCCTCATGTCAGGCCGAGCTAATTTATGAGATCTATCCAAACGTGGGTTTAGGCAGCAATTAAAGTCACTGGCCACCGCAGATGATTTAACAATCCAATCTGAGAACAAGGAAAACACTTCAATGTAGAAATCAGAGGGGCGTATAGGGGGGGTGTAAACATTTAAATAGGAGACAGCATCCCCTGAGAGCATCCCTTTAATCTTGGCGTACCTGCTGGAGGTGTCTGCTTTAACTTCCGCCTCTGTCAGGGGTAAGGACTTATGAACCAGAATGGCTACCCTCCTACTCCTAGTAGGAGGAAAAATAGACTTGGCCCACCAAGTCTCTCTTTAATTTTGCATGTGTTCATTTAATAATGAAAAGAAATGCAACATTCGAGGAGCCTGCAAACTCTGTGTAGAGAGATAGAGCTGGTATTAGCAGCGACGCAGCAGAGATGCAGCAGAGATGCAGCTGCTGTGATCACATGCTTGTGAACCACAACAGTGAGTTGTGTGTGTGCGTGTGCATGTGCGTGTGTGTGCGCGCGTGCGTGCGTGTGTGCGTGTGTGCGTGCATGTGTGTGCGTGCGTGTGTGTGCGTGCTCCAGTTTCAGTAAAGCACATTACCTAGAGAGATGAAAAGAGTTTTGAAATTGGTACACTTGGGGAAAAGACATTAATTTTCTCTCCATTTGTTTGTGTGTTTTAACTATTGTTTTATTCCCTGTTCTGTTTCTCTTTGTCCTTTGGGTCTCAGCAGTTTTCTAAATACTTAAGCGACTGAAACAAAAAACTGAGAATAAGAGTGAGCGAAAAGAAGAAATGCAATGGCATATATATCCCTAATGTCTCATTTAAAACACCAACAGACAGATGGTACAAAACAATCTGGATTAGGGCAATCTCCTCTCTCCTTCCTTGACTTTCATGTTGCTAATAAGCTGTGGATCTCATCTCGTCTTCAGAGGTTTCTTCTTTCTCTTTCATAATAACACGAGGGGTGGTGGTGGATGCAACGCTGGTTGAGATGCCGGCCTCGGCTTTAACAGTAATTGCATTAAAGGGCGAACATTTTGTTGATCAGTATCTAATAGACTTTATTAAAAATGCTTTGCAGAGCAAAAGAGGGATTATTAGGTGCGGTAGGGAGAGAGAACTCTGGAAACAAGGGAGGGGGGACTTCACAGCAACATGACGTTAGATTGCTTGGAATAATGGAATATTAATTATTCAGTGAAAGATTACTGCATATATATAGCTTTTTTGAAATTTTACAGACTTATGGGAGAAAGTCCTAAAGGTGACATGATTTGATTAGATTTTATGTTTATACCCTGTCGTATGTTAAAGAGCCATGTTGAAGTTGGTCCTGGCCCACGTTACTCAGAAAACCAAATAAATGTGCATAAACCAGTGAATTGAATTCTGTTGGCATTCCTTTGGTAATAAATTCACTTTAACCGTGGCACTTGTATCTACAATGAGAGATGATGGAGCTTAATCACTTCTACACATTTAACTCTTGGCTGCATAGTTGGGGTTCTTCAGGACTTCTGGACACCACCTGGAAATAGCATGTTTATGACAGAGCGACACTATTCATCTTGAATTCAAATTAGAGTGCTGTGCTGTTTTTCTAGGCGAGTATGCTAATGAGGCTAATGCAAAGTTAAGCTTATGCACAGTGTCAAAAAATGAAAAATGAAATGTTTACAAGCTTTAGTACACAAGACCCTGCAGTAACCCACTGTGAATATCTCAGTTTGATACCATACACAGTTGTTATATGTTATAGCCTTAGTCTCAACCATCAAATGTCTGACACAGGAAGCTAATGCATATCATCAGTAACAATAATGACAATACTCATTACGTGGTTTGGCCCCTCCCAGTATCAGAGAACATATATGCTTTGTTTGCATGAGGAAAAGCCATTTCTTTCTTTTTACTCTTGAAGACCTAGAATAGATTAAATTTAAATTCAGTGCTTTGCTCAAGTAGTCTGGTATTGAATCAGTCTTATACCTTAAAAACATATTTAAATGTCATTATTATCAGCTTTTGATGTGTAAAAAAAAGCTGAATTGCTACAATTTTGAAAGGTAATTGATGTTCAGAACCTGCCTGAACAGCAGGAGAGCAGGTGCTATTTAGTGAGCAGGTAACTTAACTTTTGTTTGCAATGTCAGTTCAACGTGACTTTTTTTGTCTTTTCTATTTGTGTATGTTACCAAACAGAAAAGGCGCTGGTGAGGTTACTGTTTTTTTCAAAACCTAAAGTATAGACATCAAGTGCAATACAAATAGTTCCTGTGCAGGTTTTCATTGTACAAATGATAAGCTCCTGCAAATTTTTTTCAACCACAGCTCTTAACAAGACTCACTGTAGGCCCAAAATGCTTTATTTCGTTTCTACAAACTGTCATTCATCTCATTCACTTTCCATCCTCTACTGATCTGCAGGTGGAAACGCCAAACTGCGTTACCAGATCACTTCAGGGAACACAGGAGGGGTATTTGATGTTGAACCAGAAGTGGGTACTATCTTTATTGCTCAGACTCTGGACTATGAGCAGAACAAAAGGTAGGAACACACTCCAGGGAAGAAACCTTTGTTCCTTTTTTTTTTTTTTTTTTTTTTTTTTACACTTGCTTTTTAATTGTATATTTCTTTGTTTTGCACAATACATGCTGAAGCTTTTAACGTCACTTCTGATTCTTTAAATCACACCTCAGTACTTTAAGTATTTGAGAACACATGTCAGTGTTTTTTTACAAAGCCCATTTGGATGTAAATTTTTGTTTATTCTTGTGAAAGCCTCTGATGAAGCTGAAACTTTTGCTCAGGTACAAGCTTCATGTCCTGGCTTCAGATGGGAAGTGGGAAGATTACACGACGGTGACGGTAAACGTTGTTAACAAGAATGACGAGGCGCCGGTGTTTACCGTTAACGAGTACTACGGCAGCGTGACAGAGGAGCTGGATGGCTCGCCGGTGTTTGTGTTACAGGTACAGCCCAGTCATTCAGCTGGGTAATAAAGTTTGTGAAAGTGTTTTTGTGCAATCTTCTGTTAACTTAGGATATTATTATTGTAATCACTTCCAATTGACCGCACATGGTCATCAGCTGGTGAGGATGCTGACATCTCTTGCATGAGACATATAGCTTTACAGTCAATCATTCAATCAATCAATCAATCGTCAGCTTAACACATTGAAAAGTCAACCAGAGACAAAGTTTTCAACTAACTCATAGAGCTAATCTTAGCTTAATTCAATGGCTACCAACAGCTGATTAAAAACCCTAGGAATTGTAGTGCAGTTTTAAATGAGTTTAGTTGAATGTACCTCAATGAGAATAGCACTTCAAAATGTTCAGTTCTTATTTATGAGTTGTTTAATTAAGGATTTAACTCGTATACTAATTAATCAACATCCAGTCATTTCATACTTTCGAGCTTCGGTAAAAAGCAGCAGAAATATGGTTCAGATTGAGTTCACCATTATTTAATCCTGTCCCTTTTTGCTGTTTGGATTTCGTTTTTTGAAACTGATTTCAGTGATTATGCTGTAATTACTGCGTAGCCTTGGCCAGATATGGGCCATTGCAAGATCATCCCGGCTTTAACCCTGAAGCTACGTGTTGGATAAGTTATGATCCCGGTGAATAGAACAGACATTTAAACTTGTGTAAATTGTCACACTTGTATACATCCAGTTTAGCACAGTTCAAGCTTAATAACACGTAATATTTCTTCACCACCATTAAGCCTCTCTCAATTACATGAGACTAAGTAGAGTTTGGTTTGAAAGTTATTCATGGTAAGCCCGGTGCTCTCTTCCCTCTCTACATATGTCAGAGCACATTTCTTACCCCCTTTAAAGGAACACAGTTAATTTTGGCTCTACATCACACTGCAATTACCGTGCTAAATTGAAACATCTTTGGCCTGCCCAGGGTGTAATTGCTGATGTGTTGAGGATGAATAAGAAGGAGCAGACAGAACAAGAGAGGCAGAGGAGGTGTGGGTTGGGGTTGAGGAGGTTGGATCTTCGCCAGATTTACCTAGTGAAGAGTTTATAACTGCACAGTGTTTCTAGTCAGGATGTACTGCCAGATCAGCAGCATTTCAATAAGTAAATAGTTAAAGAAAAAAAGAAACAAAAAAAAAAGAAAACTCTGTGATTACACTCTCATCCTCCTCTCTGTCTCACTGTGCCTTTGATGTTGTAGGTAACAGCGTCTGACCCAGATAAGGATGCCGACCAGGAGGCCCTGCGTTACTCTCTCCACGGCCAGGGCGCAGAGAGCGAATTCATAATTGATGAGGTCACAGGCAAGATCTACGCCCAGCGGACCTTGGACCGCGAGGAGCGAGCCGTGTGGCGTTTTGTCGTCCTGGCCACAGACGAAGGTGGCGAAGGTCTGACAGGCTTCACCGACGTCATCATCAACGTGTGGGACATCAATGACAATGCGCCTGTCTTCACCTGCGCCCCCAGCTGCCACGGAGACGTGGCGGAGAACTCTGTAGTGGGGACATCCGTGATGGAGATGACGGCCACGGACCTGGATGACTCAGCTGTGGGGCAGAACGCTGTGCTCTCTTACAGGATTGTGGGTAGTTTAGATGCCACTAACATCGAGCTAGAAGGAGTGCCGACTTTCTCAGAAATGTTCACTATCAACCCCACCACAGGGACAATCACTGTAGCCATGGGAGGTCTGGACAGAGAGCAGGTTGAGTCCTACCTCTTGGTCGTGGAGGCCAGAGACGGGGGAGGGATGACAGGTACTGGAACCGCTACAATTCAGATCAAGGATGTGAACGACCACGCGCCAAGGTTCACTGATCACTCCTGTCTGGCAAGGATCTCTGAGAATGCAGAGCCCAATGCAGAGGTGGGTCGGGGTCCTGACTGTTGATAAGGCACTGTTTTATTAGCTTATTTTACAGAAACCAGTTTCTCTCGTTTATTTTAAATGATGTCTGCAAATGTAAAGACAAGCTTTCAGTGGATATACTTCAGAATCCAGTGTCTCCCAAAAAGACGTAACCCAAAGCGTAAAGTCAAGGGAAGTAAGTCAGCAGTCTGTCTTAAACCTAGTAAAGCTCCAAACTTACAGCAGGTATAGCACCACTCAGTCAGACATTTTTAAGCACCTTATTAAGCGGCTTATGTGATTTCTGAGGTTCAGTATATTTCACAAGATTTTATATTAGAATAGAATATTAAGAACATATACAAAGGCGTCCGCTGACACAATGTGAAATTAATAATGGACTGAAGGCACCTGTTTTCCAAAAACAAGCTTAACTTTTAGAATGTTTTGGCCCTTTTTCCATACAAGTGCATAGACTAGCACATTCAGCATATGTATTTTCCTGACCTTTGCCCGTTTATTTTGTATTTCTTTTTTCCTACCCACATTGCAATTAACATATCAAAAAAAGCAACTCTGGTTTTTCTGCTTCATTGTAGTATAAATTTATTTGTTTAAATGAATGCAAACCTATTAATCATTTGACTGAAATAAACTAAAAGCAACCCGCATTGTAAAAATGAAAAGGTTTGTGGTATCTTCATTAATCTGAATACACATTAAAGCTCCTTCAGTTTACACTTTTTTTGGAGCATTGGAGCCCAACTCTGCTGCTCTATGCAGCTTCCATTCTCTTTCAACTTAGTCCTTGTAATATGGTAATAAAATATAGTATGTATGTACATATGTAATGTAAGTATGGTTGCTTCCCCATAGCAAAAAGTTTAAACAAGCCATCAGTGCACTACCTGCTCAGCACAGAGAGACAAGTAGACTAGTGGCTGGTGTAGAAATTCAAACATCTGTCAGGCTGCAGTGACCTAGATATTTTATTTAAAAAAAAAAAGAAAAAAGGGTCGGTTTCACAAAGATAGACTGTGACTATAACATAGATCAAACCAACAGTCAGACTTCAGACAGACATCTAAATTAATCTGTAAAAGTAAACCCTAATTGTTGACTATCTTAATGCTTAGTCTTTATTGTTTTGAGCTTTAGGCTAATGATAGCGAAACGAACACTGGACCAATCTACAAGAGCAACGCAGCTGTGAATATGAAGTGTAAATTAATCATGTAGCCCGTCATTAGTCCAGTGTGATACCCATGTTGTTCTGTTTCTGCTGGTTTTGTGTGCCAACCATTGTTTTTCTACATGTCTGCCTTTGGAAGCATATACAGCAGCGGTCGACAACCAGCGCCCCCGTCGACCAATAATATCTGGCCTGACAGATTTTTGTTTTATTTTGATAATCCAATTTTTTTTAATCTTGCAATATCAGACTGACTGTCCCACATTTAGCTACAATCTCCAAATAGAGATTCTACCCCCACCTGAAGAATGCTTATTACACTTTTATCCGTGTTGAGAGTGAATGACAGAACCATCACGCATCAGGCAATGCACTGCAATGCTCTGATGCTAAAATAGGTCTCTGTCATGGCAGCAACAGTTACTCCCATAGCAGAATCACTTCCTCTTTAGCAATTTGTGAGTGAGTTTGTTTTTTCTTTTTTCTTCAAGCAATGCTTTATTTCAAGCTGTTGTGAGCTTTTGTTCTGAAAAGTTTATCCAAAGCTTCTGTTGATTGCTTAACAGACCTCTGATATAGCAGACGTACGATGTTCAGTAAAACATTCAAACGTATGATATGTGACTGTGGGTCACAGCACCACACATGTGAACAGTAACAAAGCAAATTCCAGTCGCATTTTTATCAATCATTTTTATTATTAGTTCTTTAATTAGACTTTGATCATATTCTGGTCGCCATCTAATGGAAATTGCCCAGAGAACAAACTTACTTGCTGACACTACGTTGTCTTGTATATTCACACAACTGTACTCTTTACATCAGTTTCTTATTTCTAGAATATTTACAGAATATTGTGAAATTTGTGGTAGAATATTGTCGTTGTTAGCGACCACAGTCTGCACTGTTTCAAACTCTGTTACTCGGCTCTTGTCAAAAATACTCCACCAACTTCAGGAGATTTCAATTACTATATCAAAAATGTAAGAATCCAACGTAGCCAAAGGGACATACTTCATCCACATAATGTTTTGTTCTCTTTCAGGTATTGGAGCTTGCTGCCGAGGACAGAGATACTGGAGAAAACGCCCAGCTCACCTTCAGTGTTGTGTCTGGAGACCAAGAGCAGAAGTTCTACATGGTCAGTCACAAGCAGGAGCAGCGCGGCACCCTAAGGCTTAAGAAACGTCTGGACTATGAACGACACAGCGAGCAGAGGTTCAACCTCACCCTGAAGGTATATAGAAGCTGTTCCAAAAGCCCCGTGCAACCACGCAGCCTTGCACTTTGATTCAGCGTCTGTATCATGTCTCTCTGTCTCTAATATGATTTTTGTGAAAGAAACCTTCAGTGAGGGGTACGCAGCATGTGTGAAGAGGATGTAGAAAAAATAGAGTCTGAGTCAAGACTGACAGAAGCCAGAGGATGAATGATGCTGTGGTGCCTGCTGTTGTAGTGTTGAAAATATAAAATGGATTTGTAGTAGGCATCTTAAAGCTGTGTACTTTCACATACAGTTTGTTCCTGCAAGGTTTTGGGAATTGTTGCAACTGATAGAAAAAAAAAAATGGCAAAGGTTTTGAGAATTTCCCTAAGCAGTGATCTCAAAGTTGGTTGTTTTTCTTCATCGCCCATAAATCCCTCAAAGCAACCTGTCATCCTCTCAGTCAAAAGTTAAGACAAAAAATGTTGAGAAGAGAAGAGAAGTTCTGTAAAGCCAATTAAACACAAAGTTTCATATATCAGTTACAGACAGGGACTTTAAAGCTCCGCCAGGTAACTTTTCATATTGGGTGCAGTGAGAGGTTGCTGTTTGAAAATAACTTGAAATTCCAAAGGTGATATAAAAATCTGTTACACACATATCAGCACAACACAAATGTGGATGGTGTGACACTGCTTTATAGCCTAGGGTTTGATCACTACTGTTTCGGTAATTTGTATTTGACTCTTATTTTGTTTGATATTATAACTTCCAACTGCTGACAATGCACAACATTAGAAATCTGTTTTGGACGAAACTTACAATCTTGTCTGTACCGCACTTGTGTGACATTTGAGACCGGATGTGGTTCCCGTTTCAGGTTGAAGACCTCGACTTTTCCAGCCTTCTGCACTGTGTGGTGGAGGTGGAGGACTACAATGACCACGCTCCTGTCTTCATTCCACACTTCCTGTCACTCGCCCCGCTGCCCGAGGACATCACCGTGGGAACCAGTGTGGCACGTTTGGTGGCCAGCGACTCTGATTCAGGCCAGAACCGTGACATCACCTACAGCCTGTCAGAGGACTCCGATCCCGAGGGGCTGTTCACCATTGACCAGTCCGGGGTGCTCTCTGTGGCCCGGCCTCTGGATCGGGAGAGGGTACCCCAGCATCACTTGGTTGTCATAGCGACCGATCATGGGCTTCCACCTCTAACCGGCAGCGCCACGGTCCAGCTGCCTCTATTGGATGTGAATGATAATGGACCAGAGTTTGAGGCCGCGTACTCCCCGATAGTATTTGAGAATGTGGCTGGACCACAGGTAGGCTTGACTGGGTTTGAACTCAGGAAACATGTGACATACTGATATTAATGCAATGAGTTTGTGAAAATAAGGAAGTTAAAGGTGCACTATGCATTCCTGCATGGTTTCAGCGCGATTTTGTTTTTGTCTCAAATCATAGGCATCTCCCCTTGATCCGCTAGCTGCCTGCCCCCTGAATACACTGTGAAAAAGCGCAGTCTCTGGAGACAACACAGGCGTCACAAACGGCAAACAAACACTAGGGGCACAGGCTGTGCCCCGAAACATAACAAACCACGTTCCAGCCAATCACCGACAAGATGGTTGGGGGAGGGGGTGGGGGTTAGTGCGCATGCACATATGGGGGAGGCAGTGAGCAGAGTTGATGGAGTAGCGTGAGTATCTGAGAGTAGATAGCTGGACGGCGCCATGAACTAGGTCTAACGACTCGACGATGTATTTTGGGAAATGGCCGAGGCACGGACACGAGCAAAGAAAAGACGTTTGGATGAATATACGGCGAGGAGGAGAGAAATGGAGAAGGAACGAACGAAGACCCGCATTTATATTGGGGAATCGATTCAAAGGTGACGAGAACTCCACCGGCAGATGCAAACATGGGGGGGAGGGGCGAGCTTGCTCTGTTTTGTTTGGTATTTACTTCAAACGTCAACAGAAGTGACGTCATGCAGGAATGCATAGTGCACTTTTAAGCTAAGGAGAATTATTGTTTATTAGTGGCATGGATGAAAAAATCCAACGCCTCATGCTCTCCCTCCTTGTTTAGGTAGTAAGGTTGAACCAAACATCGACCCTCCTCCGAGCTGTGGACCAGGACTCTCCCGAGAACGGTCCGCCCTTTCACTTCACCATCCCCTCCGAGTATCGCCACAGCAACGATTTCTACCTCCAGGACAACCTAAACGGCACTGCCACACTGACAGCCCTGAGAATGTTTGACCGCGAGCGCCAGAAAGAGTTCCTCATTCCTATTATTATGAGCGACAGTGGCCGTCCACCCAAAACAGTGACCAGCACCCTGACGGTAACCATCGGTGACCAGAACGATCACGCACACGTGGCAGGGGAGAAGAAGATTTTCATCAATAGTCACCGGGGTGAGAAGGTTATCTCCAACTTTAGGATGTAGTGTTCAGAGACAAGTGATGAGACTCTGGGGCCAGTTGCATAAAACACCTTCAGTTTTCTTCTTAAGTACGGCAGTTAAGGTTTAATTTCTCCTTAGCTGAGGGAATTACTTAAGGGTGTTTCAAAAAATCTCTTAAAAGGCTCCTTCGTTGGTTCCTTCCATGGATACCGTTGATTTGCTACCATTAGCACTTGTAATACCTGTTATTACTTTTGGGAATCCTCGTGTTGTTTTGACGGGAACATCACCATGGTGTTCAGCAGACGGTCAGAGCGGTTAAACTGAGTTACCTGGCGCACTGCTGATCTGTGGACATGAAATACCTCGACTGTATGTGAGCAGAAAGATCATGTGGCATAAAACCGTTGAGCTGTTAGTAAGCTGGAGAAAGTAGACAAATCCAATTCTAGACGATCGGCCAAATCATAAACTGACTGCCTGTCAAATCTGTAACGTAAAATCAGTTCCTCTTGGTTAAAGGTTCCGAACACTCCTCATTTATTGCCATAAACTTGACCCTGTTGCAGTTAAGATAGACAGGTGTTTTGTGTAACTGTTTTTATTTTAAGGAAACCTTAACTCAGAATTTAAAGACAATCTTAACTCAAGGTGTTTTGTGCAAACTGGCCCCTGGACATTATAGGAACATGTGTCTAACTGATGAAAAGAAAAAAAAAAAAAAGCAATTTTCATTCACATTTTGGACTTTAGGTAATTTTCTCTCTAGATGAAACTCATACTGCAAACAAATTAATTCCTAATCAGTGTTCAGTAATTAACACACACAAAACATTTTTATTTAGTTTTTCACCTCTCCCTCAACCAACTCATTCTCACCACATTGTCACAGTTTGCATGATTGGTGTTAAATCAGAATGACTCCCATGGTGCTATTCTGGAGATCACAAAGGCAAGCCACAGCTCGATTTTGACATCCAGTTAATCACGGCAACATTTTTTCTCATCGGCATGTTTGGTGTAAAGATCCCAAACAAACCACATACTAGACTAACTAGGCTTAGATTACAATGAATCTCAGATTTTGTGTCACAAATAGCCTGCACATAATAAGATTGTATTGGACCGAAAGCACATTGTTTTGTTGATATTCCGGCAACTCTAGAAGATGAACAAGGACTTATTACTTCTCTGTTTTTTGTCACTAGTCATGCTTTTTGCACCTAAATTAACAGACAAATAGTATAGCAGTGTCATTTTTTTTACCATTGAAAACCAAAAAGGCTAACTATTTGTTTTAGTGGTGTGTAACTTTTTCCTCCTAACTTTCTGAAAAAGACAAAGAGGCTAGATTTCAACATGCCAGGGTCTGAAGGGAACCCTTGGGATAATTGAGAGATGGCAGCAACAGTTCTACGTGATTGTAATCAATGTGCATTCAAACAGCACTTCTGTTATGCCTTTCCCTCTCCCTATGCCAGCCACTTATGAGTTCTGCTGAAAGGAAATGTTGAATGAAGCCTGAAATATGCAGAGTACATGCATAACACATCCGACACACACTTAAACACAATATGCAATGAAGTACACATGCAGAAAGGCTAAAGGAATAAATGGGAGGCCAGTATAGAGCTGTGCATGGTGTCCCTTGCTGCTGTATAGATAACATACAGACTACACTTTATATGCACGGAGCTAATCATCATTTAAACTGTAAACTAATAAACTGATGTGTTTTCTGTCATTAGGCCGTATGCCAACCACAGTGCTTGGAAAGGTTTACTCTCCTGACCCTGATGACTGGGACAACAAGACGTACGTCTTTGAAGGACATGTGCCAAGGTAAATAATGTGACTCCAGTGTTTGCCTTAGAATTTAGATCTATAAAACAGCGGGGGGCAGGCCAGTTACATATTACAAACATATTACCTGCCTAAGTGGTAAGACGGAATATCAAAAGGTATTACATTGAAATAAACTGACACTTCACTCCAACACAAACTGGAATATATTGATTAACCTCTACTTTACACACAATACACCGCTCCGACCAATTGCTTACAGCCTGAGGAACATTTGCCTCAGTGGCAAAGCTTGCAGCCTTGCTGAGTGCATTTAATTTTTCTAGTTTTTCTTTTTTTAAGAACACCTAAGGCTCGGTCATAAAGTAATTCTCCAAGAGGTGGCCCATTAATGCTCAGTAGCAACCATGATGCCACCACTAACGTTACATAGCCTATTGTAAAACCTCGAGATTTAGCCTGTCTTTCCCTTCACAAACTTAATGAGCCCGTCCCAATCTTAATTAACATTAACTTACCTGGTTGTTGTCTTCATCATCAGGTGTCTTCCTCTTCGTAGAGAAATATTTTAACAAACTGGAATAATAGCTATAAAGATTGTTGGTGAAGATTAGGCCAATTATACTGACTGAACTCACGTTATGATTCTGAGTTCGCTAACGTTAACAACAGAGTCCCGGAACAGGACGGTATTAGCATAAAGCTAACTCAATACTGCACAGATTTTTGTCGTATTGTCCTTAATTAAAGACTCTCTACTCTTTCAACTCATTAGCCATAAAGTATGTTGTTAATGGAATAACTGCTGGCAATAAATTAACGTAACAACTCATTGTAAACAGTCAGTATCGTTTACTGTAAACAAGTGGACGCTGTCTACTTAAAATAAGGCAATAAGGCATAGCCTATATAACTTATAGCGATTTTCTGGGGAGTAGAGGTGCCAGTCAGACTGACAAATATTTATGAAACCCGGTCAAACCCTAAAGAGGATTCTGTAAATTTCCTCACTCCCCGGGTATACATCAGCCAAACGCCATAGTAAGCAACAAACCAGCAGAATAACACTTAACACCATCAATTCTGAGCAATAGCCACAGTGTATTGAGCATACCAGTGCCAAAATCAATAAGAGTGCAATATATACAGTGCCAATGCCTCAACCCAACCATTCAATTTACAGGGCAAAGTGTAACATCCACCCACTGAGTCAATACTGTCACAGTCCATGGTTATTCTGTCTTGGCTGTTTCAGTCCCCAAAGTTTCCAACAGAGTGATACCTCCTTGCAGCTAATCAGCCATGTAGGTCCGACCCGGGCCAGCGGATAACTTCCTCCGCCTCCTCGTAAAACGACTGATCCCTGGGAAATGATTTGTGGAGTAAAACTGGACGGGTCCTAATAACGATTGATTAGTGTTGCTGTTTATGGTTAAACTGCAATGTGAGCGCAGGCCGGCAGGGGGAGGACACTTCGGCAGGATACAAGGCGACCGGACTTATAATGTGCACCTGCCCTAATCCTGAAGTAGCGTCAGCCAATCTACAAAGAGGAAACGCAGGACTCTTCATGAGGCGTACATGCTGGATCCTTCACATTTTAGACCTATGAGACAAGAAAAAAGAAAACTGCTCTATGTCAGATGTGTATGTGAAAATGCAACAATTTTCACCCAAAAGCCTAAAACATAGACTTAGGGCATCTGCACACATGGGTAAACTAAAATTGCCATAAATGTCCAAATTCATTTTATGTGTCAATGTTTTCTAATCAGCAGGTGCCTGTGATAGTTGTTACTTGCTCTGTCCAAGAGATGTCTAATAACCTGTTATAGTTAAATCATATGGTTTTTGGTTAATGACGTGGTCCATAAGGTTGTTAGTCAGTGAAGCAATATACACTATATCTTCTCTTATGTTTGAGTTTCTATGTGCAGGTTTTTATGTAGAACCAACAACAACATTTTTTTTTTTTTTTTTTTTATTGAAAGAATTGGTTTTTCTTCATCTTTAAGACAGATTCACTCAGCAGGCAATGGTGCAAGAGGAAGTACAGAGATGGAAGTCAGTAAAATACTCTTGTGTACTTTTATTTGTTTGAACTCAAAAGCTTAAACATTGCTGACGACAGCTGATGTACATTTACCACTTCAAATGATCTACGTCCTGTTAAATGAACCTGATTTCACATTGCTTTCATGCCGTGAGCCGTGTTACATTTTCCAGCTAATCTCGTGGACAGTTGTGTCTGCATCAAACGTTTTGTTGCAGTGATCGATTTAGTTTAAATAATGCAAAGCAACAGAGTTAAATGTCTGTCAGGGAGGCCAGAGATTTGTTGCATTGTGATTATTTCTGGAGAGTTGTAGCTATTATGGAAGCCCCTCAAACTTTGCAGAATATAAACTGTTATCTTTTGCTGCTATTTGCTGAATTTTTTTGCTGACTCATAATGACCTTTTTGCATTTGTCACTAATGTCTCAAAACAGATTTTATCACATTTTTTTTTGCTTTAACTTTATGCGATTTGATGATTGTAAGCCCAATTCCTTGTTGGCTGTGTGGTCAGCAATCAACCACCAAACTGCCTTCTTGATGTATTGGTTAAGCCACTACACCCTCATTAAATCAGCCTGATAACTCTGAAGTGTGTTCTTCTATTCTTTTCCATCCTTTTACCGTATTCTTTTACCACCCCCTCATCAGTCTGTCCGATAATCCTCCTGAGGCTGATAACTAATTTCCTCATTCCATCCCCTCCTGTGTTTTCCTGCACCCAACAACACCTTAGTTCTCATCTTCTAAACTGAGCTGAACTCAAAATGACAAACTTTTGTTTTGTCTCTCTCTCTGAGTACAAGGCATTAACATTTTATGACAGCTCTCTGTGTTTCAAACCTGAGTTCAGAACACCTTGTCTTATCACTGCTGTTCTGGCTTTTCAGAAAATGGAGCCTGTGATAGCTTCTTCTGGTTTGTTTTATATATTTTCATTTCAGTGCATCAAATCAACCATAAAGCTGTTACTGTGAATGTAGCTATTAATCTTGGTGCTTTGGATCAAGAGGTTGTATTGTTGCTTGTTGCTGTAACTACCGTGTTGCACGGTGCAGAAAGGACAGTTGTGTTTTGACTTAGGACATCAGTGCATCTTGTATAATACTTTTTACTGCAAGTGTTTTTACTGGAGGAGAAGTGGCCATTAATATAAGTAGTAAATGTCAATAAACACGTGCTTCAGGAGATTGTGAAGGACCAAATAGGAAAATATTGGTAGTTTTATTAAAAATGTAAAATTGTCTTTCAGTGATGTGAAAGCTGGAACTAAGCGCTTAGACCTAAGACATAATCTACCCAGACAGCATGTGCTGTAAAATGAGAATTCATGTGGCCCTTGTCTCTTCAAGTGGTTTATTATTTGATTTGCCAAGGTTCTCCCCTCTCTAATTAAACTTGAATGAACTCATTTACTGTACAGGGGAGCATGTAGACAAGTGAAATTGTTTCTTCGTATGTCTTTGTGCCTATTACTCCCTAATGTATCATCTCTGCTCACTTTCTATTACTGTCCCAGTAATTAGCAGAAAACAGAGTAAACAGGAATACACTGAGTAAAACACATTTTTGTACTCTTCTGTCTTCATCTGTCTGCTACGGTGTGGAGCCTAACTTCTATGTAGAGGATGGGAACATGGTTTCAGACTTTTGGACCCCAATGTAGCTTGGTAGATAAAATTGTTAAGGATAATTAATCTTTCTTTTCTAAATGATACATAATATGTATAAATGCATTGTGTCCTTAAGTTAAACCTGGATCCCAGTCTAGAGTGACATTGTCTCCCGTGTGTCCCGTCAGGGTCTGCAACATTTTTGTCAAGACTTTTGTTGGATACTAAAATGTTTAAAATGCATTTTTATGAGGATGTCAGATTTAATTAGTGAGATAGTTTTCTGTTGTTTACATGCTGCTGCTTTGCTTACAGAAAGTTTGTGGTTGTCAGCAGCAAGTATAAGTTTGGAAGCACATAATGATCAGACACTGTATTTAGAAATCCAGTCTCCAGAGAAGAACAGTGATGTTGGAAGATTCTGCTAAATTCCAGATTATCCCAGATTCCCACTGTATAGGAGCAAATGTGGCAACTACACACAGATTGTGTTTATGGCAAATAAACTGCGATTAAAAGACAACCATTAATTGCAATTTTGTAATGTGGCACCATTCTCCAATCTCTTGCATTAAAGTTTAAGTCACTACTTGACTTCCGCACCTTAACTTTTGACCTCACTATATTAAGGGCAGGGAACTTCCTTTACTGGCCGTGCATTGGATGCAAATCTTGAGGTATGGAAACATCCAACACGGAAGTAAATCCTAGGGATACTGAGCTGGTATTTAATGATGACTGTGTGATATTTATAGTTCTATGAACACAGGCAGAGCTGTATGGGTTTTTCCTCTTAGACTAGAATTCTGCTCAGTGCACACTATGGTGAGCTGACCAAGAGCCCCTATAGACAATAAGCATGCAGTCATACTGAGCATGTCTTTCCACTTATCTGATTACGTCGTTCTCTTGTGCTCAAACTAGATTTTTCAATCACACCGGCCAGTCTTGGACCCTGGTCACATTGTGGTCCAGCCTGCTGTAGCGAGGAGACCAGCACATGAGGCAGCAACTTGAAAGACAGCAGCCATCCCAGAATGCTTCAGTCTTGCTTGTTATTAGTAAATTCTTCTTAAAGGAACTTTTGTGTGGGAAGTTTCTATTTAGTGACAGTGGTTAGTGACTTGCTTTGTGGGCTGATCAGGTTGCTTGTCTGAACAAGTAAAAGCCAGATTTTCAATGAGGGTGAGAGATTAAACGTATTCACCCTGTAGTGGGCTCAGCTTGTGTGAATTAGAACTAAGGCATTAAAATGTTGCGTGTCTGTGTGTTTTCTTTCTTTCCCATAGTTACTTCATCCTGAACAAGCGAACAGGTTTCCTGATCATCAAGGAGAACGCCCCACCCGGCACCTATCAGTTCCAGGTCCGTGTGTCCGATGGAATCTGGCCGGATGCTGTCTCCACTGTCACCGTGCATGTGAGGGAGCTGCGAGACGAGGCCATCTACAACTCAGGGTCTCTCCGCCTGGCAGGTAAGACTGACCTACAAACCTACGCAGACACACACACACACCAGTCTCTGATGCCACATGTGAATGTCTCACTTGATCTTCTCTATTTGTCCACTGACTCTTGGTCAATGACCTTTGACCCCTCAGGTGTTCACACACAGCTGATGTTGTGTGTTTTCAGTCCCTTGTGCAGGATCCTTGCTGTTTCACCGACGTTAAATTGAGTGTGATGTCATAGACCGCTCCAGTTTGTGGATGAGATCGTCTGCGTCTTATCATGTGACTGATGTTCCACACATAGTTGTTATAATTTGACCTGAGAACCCCCGTATTCCATGATGTGGTTGAAAGCTCTACAAAAAGCTAGTCAGTTGACCTTTAGTTAGAATTTTGGATTATTTTGTCTGGATTATTTACAACCTTCTGATAAATTTGTACACAACACCTCAAGTTTTCTCAGACCAGTAAAGTCTTATTTCCATCAGAGTTCTTGGTGTTAACACAGTCCACCAATCATTTGTCAGAGTCACTCATACTTCCTGTCGTAAGTGGATGTCTTGACAGTACAGGTATTGTGTGCTGTAAATGGCAATACAGTTATAGTTGTGAACATTCCACAGGAGTGTAATAACTTATTATGAGACTGATCTTTCTCATCATAAAGACTGACACTGTAAAGCCTGATACCTCCAGGTCCACATACACACACACAAAAAAAAAACTGTCCTTGACTCATAATTTCAGTTGAGCTTTGGGGCTGTTATTTACTGCTCCTGGGTATCAGCTTTGTTTTGACATTCATGCCAACAATGTTTGACCCCTTTGCCTTCCAAGCACACTTTAACCAGCTGCGGCAAACATCACCTGCAGCCTCTCCGCCTGCTGTCCTTTTGATTAATGACCTGTGACATTTATGCTATTACAGGAGCAGGTAGGACCTCCAACCAATACCAATTTGTGATTAGCTGATAAAAATCAGCTTTACCTAAAAAATTAAAACTCTGCTGAAATCAGTACTGCTGGCAAGGGAGAGTCTGAGAACATGCTCATTATTTGGAGACTTGTCTGCAGTCACAGAAAATTAATGAGCTCTGATTACTGTTTGCTCTATTTGCTTGCAGTGTTTCAAAGGACTGTCACACTCTCAGTTAAAGATGTTTCCTTAGCAAAAGATTACACCCATTATAAATCCCTCTCCACGACTCTTGGGTTCTCGCTTGCCGTCGGTACACTCACAGAAAAGCCTGTTTCCATTACTTATGCTGGCAAAATAATTAGTCAAGAGCTTTTGCTCAACCAGCACATTCTCCCCACATGTTGAGCAGCATCCATCATTACCTGATGTACAGCACATCGGCTGTCTTCTCAGAATTAAATTCACTCTGGAGAAATGGGACATGGCTGAAGGATTTTTATGATTTCAGAGATATTGAAATAGAAGAAGGGGGTGGTGGTGGTGGGGGTGGGAGAAGGTGCACTCCAAAGACGGGTGGAGAGGAGAGGAAAGAAAGAAGGAAAGGAAAAGGAAGGATGTGTAAGGGAGAGTCAAGCCTCATATGTAGATAAAAGGATTTGCTTGTCATTCTGAAAACAGGGCTGAGGTAAATTAATGTGCATCAAACGCAGAGACAGCATGGTGGAGAACAGCTGGTGCTCACATTCCAATATTTGTGCAAGGGAAATGAATCCATGCACAAAAAGCAGACGAGCAAATGTGTGTTTAAAATGAATAATGGAAATCAATGTGAAAGAATTGCCCAATTAAGCAGCTCTTCATTTTTTTTTTTTTTTTTGTGATTCACGCTTGTATTCTTTATCTGTTTAATTTAGCATAATAAGGTTAGGTTTGTTCACGTCGTATGACTGTGGGGTGGTCACTTCATTGAGGATTTTTTTAATGGCTCCACTGTCCTCAAAAGGCTGTTACCTGCAGAGTGTATTGATTTAAACCACCCTTACACAAGGACTTAATTTGAGCTAGAGAGCACGGATGTCATCCACTGCTGTGAATGCAGTGTCAAAATCGCTCAAATGCATTTGACCTACTGTTCAGCGATGAACAAACTTACAAAATGTGGAAGTTTGAGGGTTCAAAGCAAAATGCAGGATTAATGACTCTGAGATCATCCTGAGGTGTAGGAAAGCCAACAAAACAGAGGTGAGTGCAGAGGATATGTAACAGAAGCTATTTCCAGGATTTTATTTTTCCATGTGGAGCTTTGGTGTAAACAGTCTCATTGATTCTCAGTCTAGGGGATTATGAAAATATTCTACTTATAGCATTACTTACACCCTCCTTGACATTCTAAATCCCATTTCAAGAACAAATGTGGAATGCAATAAGGATACACAAAGAAAGCACTAGTTAAATCTGCCTTGCTGGGATTAAGGCTCCCTCCCTCCCTCTCCCTCACTATCCCTCGCTCTTTCTCGATATTGATGGAAAGGTAAGAAATGTGGTAAACAAAAAGTCCTTGAAATGTCCACGTAAAGCTTAGAGTGAAATGCATAGTGCTCAGGGGAATGTACAGTAAGAGGCACATGATGAGTACATACACTGCATACACAGTTTGTGCTACATGATGAAGGGAGAGGGACTTTATAAACTGCGCCTGCCAAGAGATTGCCCTTTAAGAGAAGATGCAGTGCTGAGGCGCTACCTAAATATCCTCCACCTCTCAGTTTACATTTGTCTGCCCTCTGAGGTGTGTGCATTATGGGATCAATATGTAGAAATTAAAATAAATAAATAAATAGGAAAAAAAAAAATATATATATATATATATATACATAAATCTTAGTTTTCGACTGCAGAGATTGCATATATATAAGATTCCTAGGACTGGGATGTCATGTAGCGCAGTGGGTTACGCAGCCGCCCCATATATAGAGGCTACAGTCCTCGCTGCAGCTGGCCCCCGGTTCAATTCCCGCTTCAGATGGCCCTTTCCTGTGTGTCATTCCCCCTCTCTCTGCTTCCCCATTTCCTGTCTCTCTACTGTCCTCTCCATTGAAGGCACAAAAAGCCCCAAAAAAAAGATTCCTAGGACTTTGCTCACCTTCCTTTAAACATCTTTTCCCCCGGGTGCTGCCCCCGTGGATGTCGATGTGCGCCGCATCCACTTTCAGCATTGGATTATGACTGCAACCAGTCATTATTTTCATTAAGAATTAAAGGTGCGGTCCAATGATTTTGCACATCAAAGTCAGCTCTCTGGTCACCCTGGAGGCGTGAGTGGAACATCAGTATTTTCAACAGTATTAACAGTATTTTTGGAGAAAATAAGCTGATGATGTCAGCAGGTTATCTCTCCTTAGGCTTGAAGAACCAACATTCACAATAGAAAGCCAATGTAACACATTACATGCGGTTGTTTGAAAGATTGGGCGTTTACCAGGTAGAGGATCCAGTTTGATGCAGTAGTTAAAAATAGCAATATTATAAGCTCCGCTGTGTTTAAGTTCTCCAACTTTATCGAGTACATCACTGATTCGCTGGTGTACCCCTCGACCCGATCAATCATATTTGTCACTTTACTCAATGAAATACTAAATACAAATGCCCATCACATTTCTCCAGACCTCAACCTTGCATTCTTACATTGCTAGCTTTGTCTGACCAACAGTGCATCGATTTTCAATTTACAACAACAGCTTCTTTCACTCTTTTCGTGTATTGCTTGAAGGAGATTGAAGTCAGTGATCTTGTCTGATTCAAGTCAAGACTCCCCCCCCCATTGGGGCCCCCCCCCCCCCCCCCCCATTTGTTGCTTCAGTTATTGAATGGAGTCCTGATAAATATTGGTTTAAAACCACAGCACTGCAGGTGGTTCTCAACATGCATCACATGAGAAAATGAAGTCATTCATGAACTGTAGCGTCTCTTTCAAGAAGACAATGCACACTGAATACTGAATTCAGGCAGGTGAGATTTATGTTGTAGCTAACTGCCATCTGCCATGGTGCTGTACATAATTATGCTAATGAACAATGTGTTGTTAGCAGCTTCATTAGCTACTTGTGTTGTCTTTATATGGCATGTTACAGAAAGCTAACACATCTCAGAATAGCCAAGATAATTCAGTCCTTACTTTTATTTACAGTTTTGTTTTATCTTTTGTTTTTGAATGGTTTATTTAGTTATTCTTCTTTTAAAAATAGCTATTTGAAATTAATATACTTTCTCTACTTTTAATTGATCTCCTGGTTACTTCTTAAGTAAAAATGTATTTCTGAGGAGAGTTTCATGGGAAGTGTCGTCAGTTGTCTTTCAGTGAAGACAGAGTAACCTCTCTTCAGTTTCTCTTTTGTGGAAACATGTTGCATGTTTGGTTCCTTTTCGAAAAAATATCACATGGTAGTTTTCAAGACTTCATGAGTCTTTGCTTTGTCCAAAAAAACACTTTTAAAAATTGATCCACTGTGTTTTGGTCGTGCTTAGGCCTTTGTCAGGCAGAGCCACAACAAACTGCACAAAGTCCATGATTAGGAATGGATACCGAAACCCGGTATTGAACGAGCACCAGGGCTCAATTTTTAAAGACCGGAGTATCGATAAACTCTGATGTTATTGGTTCTGCTTTCGGTACTTGAAAAATTAAGAAAATAGGTTTCCTTTTTATTATCTCACCAACTCCATTTCTGATTAAGACAATTGTCTATGAATGATGCATTTTCGCTGTCTCCCTCTCTGAGCCTGTGTGTGAGGGGCGGGGGGAGTTTTGTGTCATATGCTGGAGCACTGTGCAGCAGACGCAGACACAGACTCTTAGCGTCTATAGAGGAGAAAGCTAAACGTGAACGTTGAAGTGTGGCTCAGTCTTTTCAGTTCAGTAAAAGCGGAAACATGAGCGATCTGTGGAAACATCCAGTGAAAGTACGTCACATACAGACGGAGAAATGTACAGTTTTGTGGCCGAATAGCTCGTAGTTCATCCGTCATTGTGCCAGGTGTGTTTTGTATGCTGCAGCCTGGAGCCCACACACAGAGTTAACTACATTATACGAACATTGGTAAATGATGAAAAGTAAACATTAGCCAAAAAGTACAGTTAAAGTACCGGATTGGTAAGTGGTATCGATAAAACTAGAAGTGCCGTTAAAATCTTAACGATACCCGTCCCTAACTGTGATGTTTGAGTAGTGTTTCTCACTTATTTGTCTCAGTCTTGTCAACAGTACACTGCTACATGGGTAGGATATTTAACCCTCTTTTTTTTTTTTTTTTTTGCGCCTATTTGTGTGAAATCACAAGCCTACAGGCTGGAGCGCTTCTGTGCACTACTGCCTTGACACCCGACTCTGATGAAGCCTGTGGGAAGGAGAAAGCAGTAGTGAATTGTGAGGTTGGATCAAAGCCAGGTGCAAAGGCTGCCACTCTGCGTTAGGAGTTACTACCCTCTACCCCAGCCCCCATCCCTCCTACTGTCTCTCTGTCTGCCGGTGTCCTTGCTTCTCCCGCCGGACTGACTGATGGGAGTTGACATTAGCCTCGATCCCTCATGCTGTATCCGCTGAGCCTGTTCAGAGCCCCCTGTCTTGTCTCTTGATGCCAAGGCTGTCTCCCTCTACACACTCACAAGCCTAATCACCCTGCCTACCCTTTTTTTGTATACAGTGGGGTCAAAAAGTCTGAGACCTCTTTCCCATTGGGAAAGTGGTTTCAGACTTTTGGATCCCGCTGTATATGTGTGAGTCTTCTTATACTTCTATCTCTGAGAAAAAGTCTCAGGGTGTCGCTTATGAAGACATTTTTGTCACGTGGGGCAGTGTTGATTGTCCTTTGGATTGGTCCTCATGATAAAGATTACACTCACATTTTTTATTTCATTTGTTTATTTATGAGGACAATTAATGAACTGTCAGAGTTAGCTAGCAGGCAAATTTTTTAACTGCAGCTCTTTGGCGAGAAACCAGTGAAATGATGGGTGTCTCAAGTCTGTCTTAAAACAACACTCACGTGGGCACATGTCTCATTACTGTAATGACCATAGCTTTGGAAGATACCCACTTGATTTGGGTAACTGAGACTGCTGAAGCCTCATGTTATTTTAATATGCTATCCTTCAGCTAATTACTCTAATGCTACATCTGGGCACAGATTGATAAAGAGATCAGTGTCTCTGTATATTATATTTTAAAGTAGTCAACACCAGTTCAAACCGGAAGCTTTATGCAACAAAACAGCCCAAATCCAACCCATTACTTGGCTGTGAATCTCGCTTTGTGTCTTTGTTTCTTGTTGTAGTCAAAAATATTTGACTTTGGATTATCTTTTTGCAAGCTGTAGTTTAAAATCAACATTAAACTCTCTTGTAGAACACATTATATAACAATCAGGATTGTCAACGCACCAGAGTTAAGTAAGATCATTGCAAAAGGCTGGTAAAAAAAAAGCTCCCTCCATTTGTCATTCCTCCCACTCACTTTCTTTTCTCTTGACATGTTCAAGAAAATCGGCTGCAACTGATGGGGTGATGCACAAATGTGCCTGTGTGTACGTGTGACTAAACCCCACTGCAACCTCTCTTTGTGAGGGAACCATCTTCTATACACACACTCCTTTGATGTTGGTGTGTTTCATTAAAAAATTAATCTGTTAGGGGAATCTGTTGTCATTTTCTTCATCATAAAGAATACAGCGATTTTATTAAAGTAACTGTGAATGCTATGTATGAATGTTGTGGCTATGTACACCCACCAGCACTTTGGACTATACTGAATTATTTCAACTGCTACTTGACATTCATCCCCATAGGATGAAGCCTACTGGGTTTGGTGGTTTTGGATTTTCCTCAAGCTCCCTCATGATTTCGAGAGTCTTACACAGCCATCCATTGTGCCTAAAGATTAAAGACAACTGACTTTGGTGATTCCCTGACATAAAGAGCATCCTGCACACTCACGGTCAGATGTATCAAGCATGAACGTGAGAATTTGCGTTCCTCCACGCCAGTTTCATGTCTGGCGTATGCATGTTCTGAATGGTTTTAGTTAATTGGTGACACATTAACGAGTCTGTTGGACCACACGTAAAAACAATTACTCTTTAAAGTGATTTACATAGCACAGACACATGGGCTGTATTTTAATCAATAACGCATTCACATGTATGAAATGAAATAAGTGGACATAAGAGCATGCACAAAAAGATGCAATACATACCCTGATAACAATGGCAGCTTTGACATTATTAGATGACCTGGCAAATGGCACAATTAGAAGAGAGTAGGTGTTTAGAGGCCACGTTGATTCTTTCAGAATTCCTATAGCAATCCTCCTAGAACTGTGTTTTGACTTGGGAGAGGGACATGGTGAGGAGTGCCTGTTCCCTTACAAGTGCTGACCACACTGGGTTTCAGAGAGAACTGTCAGACCAGTCGTCCTTGAGCCGTGCCTGCCAGCTCTGTAAGATGGGATAATCCATATGTCAGTCAGGTATATAGTTCCCACATGATATGGTTGACCAGGCTAACATGAAAGCACAATTTGCAGCCAGAGCCGGTTACCCTGATGTAACTGGAGGATAGACTGCCCACACATTGCTCCTCATCAGAGGATGAATATTTTAATAGAGAACATTTCATTCCAGCAACATATATGTGACTGACTAATATTGTGGCAAGGTGGCCCACTATTCATTTATCCTAACAAACAGCATGGTTGGGAACAGCCTACAAGCTGGCGGGGTGCGCAATGGGTGGCTTCTTGGTGAGCAATTAATCTATACGCCCCCAAATATCATGTTGCTTTTAGAACGTCATTACTCCTCAGTGGTTTGAGCTTGAGATGCAGCTTCCCAGCTTCATGTGTACACTACGTTTCAGTATGAAATCTACACAAGGCTTTGTACAAGAGGCCCCAGATCTTTGCTAACACACAACAAGTTCAAAATTATCATGGTGGTCCAGATAAGGGAGAAGGAAATCTCACCTTGATAGTCCGTGTGGAACATGATGCTAAACATGGACTCAGAGCAGAAACTACAGGGGTAAATCAGCCGGAAGTTCTTATAATCTGAATGAACCTTTTGACTGATGTTCCATGGCCTTGATCTCAGCCATGATACATGAGACCTGTTCTTAATCTTGATAAAAGCAAATAGTCAGTTTATTATTTTTATTTGTGCACTTCCACTCTGACATGCTAAACCACAGCTGCTGGACTGGTGCAGAGAAATAAAATATGAGCAAAATATCATTCTTTCTTTCTCAAGAGGCTCCTGCAGATTATGATTAGAAATGGAACCACAGATTCTCAAGAGTGTAATTACCTTTAACTGACACAGTAAGGAATTGAAATCGAACTGCAGATTACTATCTTCAGACACATGAGCGCACACACACAAATTTGTTTTACTCAAATTGTAGGGACCCTTCATTCAGGCGATCCATTTCCTAGCCCCTTACCTTAACCATCACAACTGAATGCCTAACGCCAACAGTTTCTCTAACACTAAACCAGAGTGCGAAGTATACCATGATAATTGGGAGGGTCAGCTTTTTCCTCTAGGGAACCCAGTATGGCGCAGGTGCATGCTTTGGTGAATTGAAGTGTTACAGTCCTTACAGTGTCTTGCTTGTGTGACTAAAACTGTCAAATAAATGTAGGGGAGTTGAAAGTACAGTATTTCCCTCGTGATGGTGGAGTGAAAGTAAAAAATAGCATTTTCTGGAATCCAGCACTTTGTTCCCCACAAAGCTGTCAGACCCTACAGGTATAGTGGGCTACTGGTTTTTTTTTTGTACCCCATGAAGATAGTAAAAAAATCCACACAAAGACACATACACACACACTTGAAAACAGACATACAGTATAGACACAAACTAACCTTCCAAACACAAAATTATGTCACATAATTGAGCCATTTTCAATCATTTATCATCACATATCTTGAGAGTTCCAAAGTAATTTTTTACCTTAGCAATCGGGCCCAGTTTGAAAATAACTGGATTTATCCAGGCACTGGGATGGAAATAATGAGGCCACTTCTATACAGTCTACAGTTCTAATTGTGTGTGTATGTGTGTGTGTATTTCTCAGACATCACAGCAAAGGAATTCATTGAACTGAGAGGGAAGCAGCGGAGCCGCTACGAGCTGCTGGTGGATTTCCTGTCCGAGATGCTCTCTGTTCCACCTGATGATGTCAACATTTTTAGCCTAATAGATGTGAGGGAGCGAATGCTGGATGTTCGCTTCGCTGTGCACGGTGGCCCGTCCTTCCTCCAGCCTGAGAAAATGCATGGTTATCTGGCTGCCCACAAACAAAAGGTAGGTCACTGTTAGTGTCCTTTATCTTTTTATCCATATCAACACATTAAGCAGGCACAGGAAATTCCTGTCAACCTGGTTGTTTTGTCGGCTTATCTGTTGATAACTCATTCCGAAACCTGATTGATTGACAACACAGCCTTTTGAATGACAGTGCACATAATCTACATAACATAGTTTACACCCTGTTGTGTGTGATGCTCACATTCAGTCCTGGACAGTTGTGGACGCACCACAGCACAGCTGAAATGCCGAAATGATGCCAGGATCGGTCAGGTTGCAGATTCTGAAATCTGGTTTGCCTTTCCCTGATATTACCCCAGAATATCCTGATTTCTTTTCATCTCAAACACATTAACTGATGAAATAATCATCAAAACTGCATCGAAAAGTGTTTTGGTTGGAACATGGTTGAAAGTGCTCACATTTTCAAGTTGATTAGATTTATAAAGGGAAATCTGCATGGATGCATGCAAGCACACAGTTTTGATCTGATTACTTTTTAGGGTACACCTTTTCTGTCTTCGTGTGCATGTAAATTTTTGGTATGCATCCAACACACAGTTTTATAAATAAGGCCTCAGGCCTATATTAGTGGTGTAATTGTTATCAAACATAGGGAAAGCATTGCAAATTAATTTGCCTCTACATAAATTCTATATACAAAAAAAAAAGATCGGAATCTGATTAAAAGTTACAGTTGTTGTCTTGCAAGATTAACAATGACTATTGTGGGCTCATTTTCAAACCAGTGAGTTAGAGAGAAGTCAACTTAAAATGGACAAATAGAGCAATTTAGCTTTCATTTGTGCTTTTTCTCATTTCAATGTGTAACAGGGAGATTCTGACTTCTGTTGATTGTCTGATGGTTGCCAGTCATTTACATTTGTCAACTAAAGTTAGTTGCTAAAAAGACCTGACTGAGAACGCCATGATACCAGGGGCGTCCCTGTGGCTCAACTAGTAGAGCACGTACCACTGAGGCTCAGTCCTTACTGCAGCGGCCCCGGGTTACAAGACCGACCCGTGGCCCTTTGCTGCATGTCATCCCCTCTCTCTCCAACTTTCCTGTCACTCTCTCAATGTCCTTGTCTGAATAAAGCCCCCCCCCCCAAAAGAAAAAAAAAAAAAGAATTCCATGATACCACCAGCACAGGCACACTTGGATGCTGGCAGAAGTGTGTGCATGCGAAGAATAGGGAAAACAGAGTTAGTGGATCACTTGAAACCATAAGCAGATCAAAAACAAGTACAAAATGCCCACTGTGCTGTGCCAGCTCTGAGTCTGAATGATTCCCCCCTCTGGGTATGGCCACATTGTGAGAACAGCTCTCTTAGCCAGGGAGCAGCTGTTTATTCTCCTCCAGATTTTGGTGGAGCCATTCTCACGTGTCTAAATGAACCAGATCTTGTGTAAACAGTGTAGAGCTTAATTCGACCACCCTATGCACAGCAGGTGTGAAATCACCTGGGGGTGTAATCACTGTAGCGAAGTCAAAAAGTATTAAGACACTTCGATGTTTTTCGTTGTTTTGGCTCTTGTGCAGCACAGTGGATTTAAAGTGAAACTATAACTATAAGTGCTGACATTCAGCTTTAAGGCATTTGAGGCTGATCACATCTGTGTTGGGTGGATAGTGCAGAACTTTTAGCCCTTTTTATCTCTTTTTTTTCCACAGTCCTCTGATTTTAAGACACTGTAGCAATACACTGATCTAAAACATACAGATAAGGAAACCAAGATGATTTTATAACTAAAGAGCTGAGACTTCTTGACTCTCATGATCTCAGTTCACTTCCCGAAGACGAGACTGAAACGATGACATAGTTTAAAGTATGATGACTTCATGTATGTTTACATTCATTCATTGGGCAGACACTTTTATCCAGAGCGACTTACAAGTGAGGGACATCACTAAAGCCTCAGTGCAGTAGGAGAGCTTGGCATAGGTGCTAAGTACTACATCTATTTAATGAGTACAAGGAGATCAACTTTATGTGACCTTGTCCAATTATTTTCCGTTCCACCATTTTGTTTTAATGAAGACAGCAGTGATTATTAATTGTGCAATAGTGCCTGGAATAGATCAGACGGATGTTTGGAATGTTCCAGGATGAAGTCCAAAGCACAGCCTGTCGTACTTACACACCAAATTTTGAACTTTGATAAATTTGGAAGTTTTTACAAACAGTAGTTCAAGTTTTGAATAAAAAATGACAGCACTAATAGCGTATGAAGTCTAGAAAAACCAGTACATTGGGTAGATTATGAAGACCTACAGCAGTGGGCGGCAACTGGCGGCCTGCGGGCCAAAGATGGCCTGCCAGCAATAATATCTGGCCCGCCAAATTATTTAATAACCTTTTTTTTGTTTTTTTTTTTAATCTTACAATATCAGACTGACGGTCCAAATAGAGAATCTACCCCCACCTTAAGAATGTGTATTACACTTTTATCCATGTTGGGAGTGAATGATAGACATGGCCTGATCAGGCCGCGGGCTCCACTGTAGTCAGTGCACAGCGCCTGGTGCTAAAATAGATCTCCGTCAGCAGTCAGCAACAGTTACTGACAGAGTCACTTCCTCTTTAGTTCAAAATGAAACTGCAAGAAAGTTTTTTTTTCTTCTTTTTTTGCAGCAGTGCTTTATTTCAAACTGTTGTGAGTGTTTAGTCTGAAAACTCTGACAGGAAGTTCCAAAGCTTCTGTTGCTTGCTTGACAGAGCTCTGAGGTAGCAGACATAAGACGTGTGATATGAAAAAAATAACACCAGTTCAGTAAAACATTGAAACGTATGATATGTGACTGTGGGTCACAGCGCCACTCATGTGAACAGTAACAAAGTAAATCGGCCTTTGGTTATGTTCTTCCCCACCATCTAATGGATTAGAAAAAAAATTGGCCCGATGCCAAACTTACCTGCCAGTGATTACTTGAATTAACCAAACTAACTACAGTATATAAGAATGTGATGATAGAAAACAGCCATGCCAACTAAAACACAAAAATACTGTTTTTGTATCAATATTTCAGTTTAGGCAACATTAACGTCCTCTTGTCTTCTCCTGGTGGTTTATGAAAAGAGAAAGATTACAGACTCCAGTTGAATGGTGAAGCTAAACGGCTGCTACTTTGTCTGAGCCTTACATGGTATGAGTAAGAGTTTCTGATGAAATTCCTTCCTTAATTGATGGCTGATTCATGTGCCAACCTCCAGCCCAAGAATAAAAACTGTTATTTCTACTTTATTCATAGTCCATGAGTGTGGAACATCCTTTTAAATCCAACCCAATTTGTCTCTTACAGAAATGCACTGTGTGGATTATGGCTGTAATACTGGCTGCTGCTGGGAAGAAAAAAAAAAAAAAATCCCACCGGAACTGTGCTCTGTCAAATGAGAAGGGTGTGTAAAATCACATAGATCTTCCTATATTTAGTCATAAATGGTCTTAATAAATTACATTTCACCCACCAGAGAGAGCACACTAAACAGAATTCAAAACTTGAAAAAGCATATCATCGCTATATGGAAGAGAGTCGGTAAAACACAAATAATTCACTTCATCACACTGACGCACTCTGGCCGCTGGCTCCAGTCAGACCTCATTTCACGTTTCAAAAGTCTGAATGGAAATAGGGGACCTGTGCGTGTGCGTGTGTGTGTGTGTGTGTGTGTGTGTGTGTGTGTGTGTTTGTGTGTGTCTCTGAGAGCATGAACCATAGAAAGTCAAATTGTATGCATTTCACCAACAGGGAAAGAAAGAGAGAGAGCTGACCCGGGGTCCTCAAAGGGAATGATGAGCAGTCTGTATTTGCATTTGTGTGTCTGTTGGAGGGAGAAACAGAACGAGTCCAGTCATGGTCATGGTGGTCAGTTCAGGTCCATTACTTCAATCAAACATTTGCCTCCCTCTTCAACTCCTTTTACACAAACGGTTTAAGGCGGGAATGTTGCGCCTTTACTCTGCATCGCTGTTCTGTATAAAAGGTATGAACACAGAATTGGGGGGTTTTGTTGCTCCGCCTTTAAGTTAGTCACAGAGTCTGATCGATGTCTGTGTGAAAGGAATGGCCGGTATGGCCGGCGGGGGGGGGGCAGACGCCACTGCTCTTGTGTTACACATCACACCTCTGATTCCAGAACGCCTGTGTGTGTGTCACACACTGGGGTGGTGTCACTGTAAATGGACTGCAATTATATAGCACTTTTCTCATCTTGTTGACCACTCAAAGCGCTTTACTATGCATGCCACGGTCACCCATTCACCCATCACATCCATACACTGATCGAACAGCCATTAGAAGAAATTTGGGGGTTCAGTATCTTGCCCAACATAACCTTGACATGCAGACTTGAGGAGCCAGGGATCGAACCACTGACCTTCTGATTAGTGGACGACCCCGCTCCCTCTTGAGCCACATGTCGGGTTTGTTTTTTTTCAGTCTAAACAAGCAAAGCAGGCATTATGAAGTTTTCTTAAAGGAGCTATTTGCAAGTTTTGCTATTGCTACATAGCTAGCATTAGCATTAACAGCTGTTCACTTACCAGTCTTGGGGAAACCTTGCGAGTTCAGCATCAAACCTCATTCCTTTACTCACCAAGAGCTGTTTCTAATGGTGGAAACCAACCAGTATTAACTCCTGTCTCTATCACATCTTTTCTTCTACTGAAGTTAGCATGCTAACCAGCTAGCCCCGGCCCGTCTCGTCATTTTCCGATAGCGACCTACTGCTGCCTCCAGTCTGCCCTGAAGACGTAGCACTGCTCAGAGGGCATATTATAACCTCTTGTACAATCAACAAGCTCTTGTCAATCACCACCGGCAGAGAAAACTTACAAACAGCCTCTTTAATGGTAGTGTGGTGGTATCCCTCTTTAAGAAAGGGCATATGCTTCTTTCCCTGGTGCCCTCCATTTGTTTCATGTGAGTATTGTCAAGGAAGAAAGGCGAAAGATTAGAGGTGGGAAGATAGGACGCAAGTGTATGAATAGATTTTTTAAAATGAGCAAAGTGTGGCCACAGAGAGGGGGAGAAAGATGTGTAAAAGGAGAGGTAGCCGAGGCTTTCAGGTGTGATTTGTGAGGAGAGTGCCGAGCATTTCATCTGAATTCAGGCAGGTTCTCCGGAGAGGACATTGATCAGAATGAGATGTGAAGCGTGGCGAAGGAAAGGATGAACGAGAGCCGGAAAGATAGAGGAGGAGGGAGGGGGGGTGGCTGGTGGATGGGAAGGATAGAGGAAGGAGGGGGGGGCTGCAGAAGGGAGGAGGAGAGGAGCAGAAGATGAAGCAGTGCTTATCATTAATGTTCTCAATTCTCCAGTAATGCCTCAGAAGTAGAAGATTTCGAAAAAAGAAAAATCTTTATTCCCTATGTCTCTCTATTTTTCCCTGCCCTACCTCAATAATGGAACTTATCCCTCAGTGTTTTCAATCCAGCACGCTCCACTTGACTTTTAATGATACTACGTTGGTTTTCCACTTTTTAAAAATCATTGGTATGGCGCTCGGATACCAAGGTTCATCTTGTCATTATATTAATGTGTCCCTGAGGGCAGTGCAGAGGATTGTGGAATCTACTCAGTGCCTTGGAACAATAGTCCAAGGAACAATACGTCCCTCTGGTCCTTTTTTGCTTGCTATACACACTGCTCTGCCTTAGAGAGAGTCAATGTGCATTTCCTCAACACTTGCTAGAGTACATTCAAAAAAGTGGGGAAATTCTTTTCACCCATTAAGGCCTTGGGGAGTAAAGAGACTCCAATGAGGGATAAAGTATTTTCTAGCCCATAGAGCAGGGAGATGTACATTTTCAAAATCTTACTACAGATGAATGACACCACTCAGAGCATAGCCTCACCTGAAAACAAGTTCAAAAAGTTGGCCATTATCCATGAATAAGAAATAAGGAATAAGGAATGAGAGAAAGAACCAATATAGTCTCCCTCTGTCAAGAATTTAGAATGCTTTATTGAACTCCCAAATTAACAAGAAATGATCAGCAGCTTGAATAAAGCCGTCCGTTAGGTCTCACTGAACGGGATGTACTAATTAACCTCTATATATGGTTGTTTTCAGGTGAATATCTCTGCTGGGTGCTAACTGCTTTATAACCATGTGACAGCCAGCATGACACTGACTTCATCACAGCTGTTCTTATCCCCAGATGTTTCCCTCTTCTCTGCACTCCCTGCTTGGTCCCCCTTCTCCCCTTCTTTAATATTCCACCCAGAATCTTTTGAGTATTTTACTTCAGTCCGTCACGATCACTTTAAATTGATCAGTAACAACAGATTCCGATGTTGAGAATAGTAGAGAAAACATCAGAAGAAACTTCTCCCGCAGTTGCATCAACCTCCCAACATTACATTTTTTGTGTTCAGTATGTTGTAAACATTTAGTTTGCCATGTGTTGGTGAATACACTGCCTCTGTATTGCCTCTGTATTGCAGCACATGAATTTTTGGTATCAGTGTCAATATGAAGCCTCAGTTTCTATATGAACAACAATACTTTCTTTTAGACCTTACTTTAACACTTTGTAACACTCAGTGCTGTGGACACATCTCAGTCTGATGTTGAGGCTCATGCCTGTAACTTTTATTATCTGCTACATTGTCCCCAACTCCGCCACCTCTTCTAGCTTCCACATTAGCAGTGTAGCTCATAATGGCTATATGGTACACAGTGCTAACCTGATGCCCTCTTGTTTTATCAAAGTGACATTTTTGTGAGCAGATATGCAGGTTAAAACACAGTGACGCATCCATCCAACAGCTTAATGTGAACTTATTAAAGGATTAGGCTAATAATAAATCCACTTTTTATTATTTTAACAGATCCCCTGAAGAGGATAAAAGAAACACTGACTCCATCCTGCTTACTACACCCGCTATATTGATTTTAATGAAGAAATATTTCATCTCTTTTATGGAGTCACAACACAACACTTGTTAGCAGGATAAATTCAATGTTGGTTTTGGTCATTTTCAAGGATTTGTTAAGCATAAGATACAAAAGATACTGTATACAATACTTGACTTTAAAAGCCTTAAAACACTTTTGCATACCTAGCAGAAATCACATATTTGTTTTTCTTGCCAAGATGAAATAGCCTTGCAGAACCACGTTCTCCTTCATTCAAGTTCAACTTACCTTATCTCGTGCCTCACTTATACATCTTTGTGGAGCGTGGCTTTCTGAAGCCTGTGGGAATTCTTTTGTTCCCATTTTTGTTCTCATGGTAAGTGGACAGGAGACACATTATATTTACACCATGTGTAGTTTTCAGATTAGACTGGTTTGTAGGACAGCCATTCTACATAAAAGGACCCTTAATGGACATCCCAGCAGTTTCAACCATGGCTGTAATCACATTTTGCACTTGCTACACACTGTCCTGCAAGCCAGTCTCCTCTAGGGGGGCATATTGACGCCACCCCCGCAGCGTGTTCAGTTTATGCAAAACGCACGTAACATCTAATGACACACGCAAAGAGCACAGGAAAGATGGTTTATAGATATGTAAATATATGATAAACAGTAAGATCTATCATTTATCTCCCATTCAACCCCGCCTCCATGTTTAAATTAATTTGCATAAGGCTGTACATATTCCCACCAACATTAAAATCGAGGGAAACTGATGAATATAAGCATTTGTGTCCAAATTGACTATTAAGGGGGAAGCATTAATGTCACAGGTGGGTAAAATGAAAGCAGGTGGTTTTGAATGGAAAAAAGCCCCACTGCTGAGCACAGTGTTTAAAGTTGAAATGGTATGAGACATCAGTCAGCAATAACAATGATCCATAAAACATAACCTGTATCAGAGTTACAGCCGCTGAAGCACAGGCCATTTGGGGGAATAAGTGGAGTAGATGTGAACTGCATGGTTAGTGAGCACAATCCAGTCACACTGAATGAGGTCCAATCAGTCCAGAACATTGAGCATGAAGTGACCCTCTTTCGGTTCAACACAGTTCACAGTGAGTGTGTGTGTGTATCCGAGTGTGTGTGTGTGTGTGCACGCATACATGTGTGTCTATGCATGCACGCATGCCCCTCTTCATGCCCACTCTGCTTGAGTACATGAATGTGTATGTAGACTCAGTGGAAATCTGCTTGACCAGTGTCAGTCTCACCAGCCAGGGACAGCACATCCAAATGCAAGCACACCAACACACACACACACACACACACACACACACACACACACACACACACACACACACACACACAAATACAGTACATATTCAATTTCCATTTCATTTTCCCTTCCAGTGCTTTATCAAACTGCTCAACCTAGACACTCATAGTTTCCTTTTGCCTCATCACCGTTTAACCCACTTTTCCAGGAACTAGTGCAGAAAAACAGCTTGATTTCTTAGACCAGAAACTGGCTACTGTACTGTAATACATTCCTAAAGTGAATCTGCATTTTTCACATCTGAGTTATTTTGTTTGTGTGTGTGTTTGTTGGTGTGCATGCATCTGTGTTTGTTGGTCTGTGTAAACTAGATTAGCCAGATATTATTACGTATGTGTGCATTTACAGTAAAAACACGAATATGGGGCAGAGTTGCACGATAGATTGCATGTTAATCCCTGGACTGGGTTTAGAGCTAGTAGTTCCTGTTGCAAATACACTCATATTAAAAAACTATGAAGTTTTGAATTAGAAGTGGTTTAGTCACCATATGTTTATGTCAGTGAACATAGACGAAGACATAAAAATTGTAAAGACTCACTAATGTACACGCAGGAGACTAAAAGATTACGGCAATGTATGCAAGAAGATCAAAAACACTTTCATGTTAAAGCTGGACCGGCTCTCCAGCCAGTGTGACATGGCAAATAAGCTTAAGATCACTCATATGTTCCACAAGTTAGCTTCTGTCTGCCAGCTGTTTGGACTTGCTATCCCTCCTCTTCCTTGTCCACATTTTATGCTTACCTTAGATTTTTTTTCTGAGAAATCAATTGGTGTGCCCTAGATTTTCATTTTTTATTTATTTACTGAAGTGACATGAGGCACCATAAAGGACGATATGCAATATGGAAGGCAATAAATATTTATATAACTTAATAGTTTTTTTTTTCTTCTTTTTTTCCAAACGAAAAATGTCAAAAAATATTATTTAAAAAAATTAAGACGAGCTTAAACCAGTTTTCAGAGGCAAATTCTTCACTGCAGCTGCTTCTTTGTAAATAGCTGCAAAGCATTGTCAGTACTCAAATGCAGTGAAGGGGACTAGGGGACAAACAGAAGCACTAACAAGTCGTATTTCATTGTATTGTTGTTGTTCATTTACACTTTAAATGATGAAATGCATCATTTAAATTGTAATTTTATATGATATAAATCTGAAAAATGAACCTTCACCCCAAGAAGCGATCCAGTGTTCTGACAGGTTGTTTTTGTGATGAGATGTATTGCCTCCAAAACTGATCTATGAGCTCCAATAACACATTAAAGCCACAGTCTCATCCAAACCCTGGTGGGCAGTGTTTGTATGTAGGAAGCTGGTGGGGGCACTAGCAACGCTTACTGTTTAGTAGAGGTGCCTGTGCAAAGGCAGATTCAGCCTGTTGTACTGCTCATAGTCTCTGGAGTTCAAGTAAAAAAAATAAGAGGTACTATTATAGTGCCATCTTGTGTTTCACTTTCTTCTCTGTCTTTCTCCATCCAGCTCCAGTCATTCCTGCAGGTCAGCGTGTCCCAAGTGCGGATAGACGAGTGTCCCAGCTCAGAGTGCGCCGGGACCGGTGGCTGCACTAACGTTTTGAATGTGCGAGATACACCCACAGTGGTGGATTGTGGGACTATGAGTCTTGTATCTGTGACCGTGGAATCCACAGCTGTGTGCTCTTGCACAGGTAGAGAGCAGTCCCATCAGCCCTGCGCCGCATATCCCAGGAACCCCTGCTTCAATGGTGGAGTGTGTATGGACACTCAGCATGGCTACAGGTGAGTTGAAAATGAACATCACACCCACCAACAGAGCCTAAAGGACAGTGTTTGGTAGCAAGCCATCACTTCTTAAAATAACAAGTGACATAACAAATTACAATCAAATGATCACATTATGATAGTTGTCATTACAAAATATTGATAGTTGCTTTCCCTGGGGTAGCAGCAAAAAGAAAGATTTATTTTTCTCTGGCTGAAAATACTTCTTTCACTTGGACTTTATTGCACCAACCGAGGCAATAACCTAGGACACTGTTTAGTTTACCTAATAATTTACAGGAACTCGGAGCTTCGATATGACTAAAGCAGAAACTGCTGAAAAGGAAAAATGTGAATAAATGAATACAATGATGCAATGTCCTGAAACTTTTAACATATAAATGTGCTATCACTGTGAGGGTCATTAGTGAAATTATGCTTTTGGTTTGATTTTACTATAACATGATCTTGACACTTTCACATTCAAACGTAGACATGTATTGAATTTGTTTTACTGAAAAAAACTGTAATATGCAGAATTCAATTTTTTTTTCCTAAAAAAAATCATAGACAAAATGATTCTGGTATTTATTTCTCACTGAAACCCAAACTGTAACTGTGGTTTAGGAAGCCAGCAGACTGAGATAGAGTGAGCTGCGACAATAGGAATAAAGGGCTGGAAATGAAAAAATTACAAAGAGTGAAAAAAGATTGCAAAGGGTAATTTTGGACATGATTGTACAGTAGATGACTGTACATGTGTATTTCTGCTTGTGTGCAATTTTAGAAATTAAAATTAAAGCTGTGTGTGTGGGGAACTCATTTAACACCGCAGGCTATTCTTTTTATTTTGTCACTGGAGGTTTCACTCTCTGTCTGGTGCTCTCTCACTGCCGGTCTTCTTTGTTGTTGCCAGGCTATGGAGGTTAAAATTTGAGGTAATTATTTTAACCTTTCTGAATCTTGTAATGCTTGTGTTTTTGATCGTGTCTTTCTGAACAGCTGAGATCAATGGAGCTTTATACATGGTTTGTATAACAAAGTTCAACCATGTTGCTTTAATCGAAATAACAAAAAATTGGGTATAGGTTAGGTTTTTTAGGTCTTAGATACGCTTACATAATTACATCATTATTTGTGTCACTCTGCATGAACTAATGTGCAGGATGATGGATAAACTTATGTAGTCCTTTTATCTGTCACTTTTTTTCTTTTCCTTACATTTTCTGGGATGGAGCTATGTCGTTACCATAGAGCCCTTAACTTTCTTCACAATCTGTTATGCACAAATCATTTAAATTCCCTTTTGTCCCTCATCAATCCACAGACTGTCACCATTTGGTCACATTTTGCGACCATGTTTGGAGTCAGTGCTTCTAAATTTTATAACTAGGAGCACGTTTGTTTTTTTTTTTAAATCATCATCATGTATCATGTGAAACACCAGGAGGGAGCAAGAATTGATGTGTGTGTGTGTGTGTGTGTGTGAGAGGGAGGGAGAGAGGGAGGGAGAGAGAGAGAGAGAGAGAGAGACAGAGAGAGATACAGAGTGATAAGAGAGCTAATACGAGACTCTTGTCATCATGTCAATGCTGGATGGGGATCATTTTTCACGGGCCATCTACCTGTGTCCGGTCCATAAGCACTGTCGCTCTCACTTGGTCCTTTAGTGACAATGAAACAAACTCGATTCATTCAGACCCTCCTGCGCCACTACAGTCCCAAATTTCTGATGAGGACAATTCAGACAATCTTGTGGCGAAAGAGGCAAAGACCTGCTCTCTCCAACGGGAATAGTCTACGCTGCTGAGATATTGCAAAGAAAGGACAGCAGTGTATTGTGTGTACTGCTCTTGGCGTGGCCCAACATTTGCGGGGAAAATGACGTTTGTCGACTCGGCCGCAAACTGTAAATATGAAACACTTGTAAAGCACAATAACGGCATGAGGCATAAAGCGTGCATGGACAGATGCACTGATGGTACTGCAGCACTTTAAAGGCAGGAGTCTACTATGGTCTGCGGAAGAGGCTGAAATGAAGATCTAATTCAGTGCAGCCTATCACAGAGCAAAGGAAGAGTTGCCATTCACTAAATTCAAGGGTCGCATTGAATTGTTAACAAAGAACGGAGTTCAGGTGAGTCCACCCTACAGCAATGACACAGTGTGTGTGCAGTTCACTGGAGTTATAGCAGATTCACTGAAGAAGAAGTGAAAAGATTAAGGATTTCACTTATTTGCTCCTCGGGACTGATGGTGACACTGATGTGTCAACCAGAGAATGTGAAGTAGTCTACATGGATCCTGTATCAAGGGAGGCTGGGAATATTTAGATTGGCCATGTTGAAGTCCAGCATGCAAATGCAGAATCTATGCTAGTTACAGTATCAGGGCATGGAGCGTATGTTTTATCAGAAAAAAGAGCCGTGGTGGAAGAAGATTAAAATTGATAATACCAAAAATATATTTATATATACTTCATTTAATATATAAATAAAACAATACAGAATATGAAGTTCTTGTATTGAATGTCAATGTGACTTAAGAGGTCCTCCTAAATTTTGAGTAAGGATCTCCGATGTGACCAGATGAAAAACTTGGTATGAATCCCTGAATCTACGCTCAATACTGCATAATGACAAAGCGAAAACAGAACATTTTGCAAATTTATTAAAAAGAAAAACTGAAATACACATTAACATAAATTTTCAGACACTTTATTCAGTACTCAGTTAAAGCACATTCGGCAGCAATTACAGCCTTGAGTCCTCTTGGATACGACCCATCAGGCTTTGTTCATCTGGATTTGGGGATTTTCTGCTGTTCTGCAGATCCTCTCTGGCTCGGCCAGCCCGGGATGGGGACTCTCGGTGGTCGGCCATTTTCATGTCTCTCCGGATATGTTTAATTGGGTTCTGCAGACCTTTGGACCCCACTGTATGAAGCGTCATCTTTAAAGCTGTAGTAAATGTTATTGTAAAAGTAACTCATGCGTTTTTGGGGACCTTTGGCAGCTGTGGAACAATACACATCAGTACATTAGCACATGTAATGCCAATCACCACAATGGTGTGGTTCACTGCCTAATATTTATTTTTTATTTTTTTTATTGAAGTCTGTAGGACAGAGCAAGGAGTCGACTATTTGTTAGTGGGATCAATTCACCGTTGGTGTTGGTCCTGTTCCCCTGTTCCCCCACCTTAACACTGTTTTGTGATTTGTTACATCATCAGTACGTCAGTCGAATGTTTCCACTCATTTCTCAGGATTTTGATTATTCAATACATTGGTTGTGAGATGCGGTTTGTTAACTGCTGGAAGGGTCAGCCCATTTATGAATAATTTATGTGCTTATATAGATCGGTATTGTCAGCAGTAAGAGAAGAATTCAGTGTTTATATTTGTGTGGTGTTCTGTATGCTTATGTTTGTGTATGTAACTCACCCCCATACTTACCTGAGTAGGTGGTATGTTCCAGTTAGGTGCGGAGGAGAAGGTAAAATACCATTCAGTGGTCAGTAGGGAGGAGAGTAGGTGGGCGCTTGCTGTGAGGTCGTAGTGTGTTTGGTTGTTTTGGCTTAAATTGTTTTTGTTGAATTTCCTGGGGATAATTTTTCCTCTGTTTATTAATATTTTTGGAATAAATATTCCTTTTTTGAGCACGTACACCAGCCTGCCAACCTGCTTTTTGGCAACATCCCTTCAAAGATTTCCAGTGCTCAAATATCATTGTCTGCCCTTTATATGAGATGGCGGCACTACAAGCCCTGAGAGGAACGCCATCTAACATACCAGTTGACATATCAGTTCTGCGCACACATACTTTCATGTGGTCTCAAGTAATATTAGCACAAAGATTTCCCATCAAAGACGTGAAATCTTTGCTATTTGAGAAGCTTAAAATGAAATGTCATATCAATTTTTTTTTCAATTTTTTTTTTTATTATGGTGAACTAATTGGAAAGAAAATCAATGATGAATAATCTCGGGACATGAGAAATATGTTTGTATGGCTAATACACAGGTGTGGTTTTAAGTCTCTGCACTGCTTGTGAGCAGAATCAGGCAGGGGAGGCAGACATAACAAATATAGAGAAATCCCAAGCAACTCATGCTGTCATTGAAAAAGAAAGCTTGCATTAATATAGCAGGCATGTCTTCGGGTTTTGAATGCACCCTCTTGTTGCATCAAGATCAATAAACATCCTGTGGTGTGTGTTTTATGCCAGCTTTTTGGTTCTGCCAGACTTGAAGAATTCCCAAATTCAGCAGCTTAGCTGGTCTACTACCTGGCTTTCAGACTTAACAAGTTGTAGACTGTGGGATGTGCTGTCTGCTGTTATGTTGGAAAGAAGTACGACACGGTAAATAAGGCTCCGGTTAGGCTGATACTGTTATTCCCACTTCAAGGAACCCTGGCGGTTTGTGAAGACGGGAGTGAGAACTTATCATATGGAATGTTTTTCAGCCTGAACTAAAGAATGAATTCGTTTCCAGCTTTCAGTAATGTCTAGACTGGTGTGATACTGAGAAGGAGAGCTGGGGAGATGATGGAAGAGAAAGGAGGAATTAGAAGGAAATTAGAGGAATAAACAGAACCTCAAAGCATATGCTTTTGAGACTGTGCTGCCAAAACGAAGGCAAAATGCCTGTGGTGATAGTGTGCAACTGTGTGCGAATGCGTTCATGCTGTGTTTAGTTTAGAGGCAAATTCTTTCTCAGATGATTTTGGTGATTAAAAAAACGTGAAGGAAATGAACACATCACAACAAACGACCTGCCCAGTGGCGCTAAAGGAAATTTTTATTTAATACTATGGCAGAAAATGTTCTAATAATCCCAGAACCGCCGAGCTCGTAAACTGAACTCCCAGGTCTTTTCACACTGATTTTGCTCATTTACAACAGAGTACAGCGTTTTTCATAGGTTTGCTGCAACTGTAGATGATGTTGAATTAAGATGAAGTTGCACTCAGTATTTTACGTCACGCTAAAGGGAATTTATAAAACCTTAACAAC